GCGGGCGACGGCTTCAGCCTGCACCCGCCCTACTTCAACCTGGCCGAGGGCGCCCGCATCACCGCCTCGGCCACCTGCGGCGAGGAGGCCCCGGCGCGAGGCGCCCCACGCCCCACCGAGGACCTCTACTGCAAGCTGGTGGGGGGCCCCGTGGCCGGCGGAGACCCCAACCAGACCATCCAGGTGAGCGCGGGCCGCGGGCAGGGTCGCCGCCGAGCTGGAGGGGTGAGGGGGACACCGTCCCGAGGACCCCTGCGCCAGGGACAGATCTGGCTCGGACTCTGGAACTCCAGCCCGACTCGGCGGGGGGCGCCACGGGCCGGGAGAGCCCAGGTACCGGCCGAAGCCGCTCGTCCCGTCCCGACGCCTCGGTTTCGCATTTCGGGGGACGGAAGGGACCCCAACTTGGCCACTCAGGCTCTGCCCGATAACTGCGCGTCCCTCCGAGAAGGCGGGACGCGGCGTCCCCCCGAGAAGGCGGGACGCGGCGTCCCCGGCGCGGACCCGGGGGCGGCCAGGCGCCGGTCGAGTTCGGCGGCGGTGGCGGGGCAGGAGGGGGGCGGGTGCCCAGTCCCTGGCGGCCCCAAGTCCCGGGATCCCGGCGAGGGCGGGGCTTGGCCTCCGCCGCCGGCTGCCTGTGGGGAGGGGGCGGGCCCGCTCCGCCTTCCCCTGGGACAGGCTGGAACCTGCTGGCGTCGGAATGGGACAGGGATGAGGGCGGGAGTGGCCGGGGATTCTCGAGTTTGGGGCCAGACACAGGAGGCTCTCACTGCCCCACAGCAAAGGAGGTCTAGGGACTCGGTGGGACCCTCAAGGAGGGGGGCGGCAAAGAGGGGATTTTTAACTGGGGGTGGGAACGCGGAGCTGGAATGAGGGGCAGCGTCTCTGCTCCACAGTCGGTGGTGTCCGTGGGCTTCACTCGCCCTGGAGAGACGTGGTTTCTATCCCTGAAGACCCTCAGGGAGGCACGCCCTCCGGAGGCGTAAGCCTGTGGGTGGGGAATGGGTTAGGAGGCCCCGCCCATGGACACCTGACCAAGGAAGCACCGCTGCTGAGACTAGGGGACTTAGTTTGGGGGCTGGGGTCCCCGGGGTCCCCGAGGCTCCTTGGCCGGCATGGCCTCCTGGGGTCAGCCTTGGAGGTGAGGGTAAGGGGCTCCCTGACACCCCATGCTGGGCCCCTCTTCCCACCCCTGCTGAACTTTAGGGAGAGTCTGGGGGCCCCAAGGCCGAGGTAACTTGAGCCATCTCCTCCAGGGACTGGCGGCCACCTTCCTGCTAGGAGAGGCTGGGGGAGGGGAGGCGGGTAGCTGGAGAGTGGATGAGCTGGGGTGGGCGATGAATGCAGGATCCTCAGCTGGGCCCCCTTCACTGCCTGCCTCCCCATCCTCCTTGGCCCCGCAGTGGAAGGAGGAGCTGAGAGGGGTCCCTGGTGTGGCAGCCATCCTGGGACAAAGGTGTCGCCTCCTTCGGGGTCCGGGGCTCACCTGCACGCTCTCCTCTAAGCCCAGCACAGCTGAGATGGGAGGTCTCAAGCCAGCATTTCAGAGGGGAAGCTGAGCCCTGAAGGTGCACAGCCAGACCGGGATCTGGCTGGGGTGAGCAGTGGAAATCTGGGTGGTTGTTATGGGCCCGTGGCGCATCTGGTTGGTGTCAGAGGGGCCGGGTTGAGGGAAGGAGCTTGTGTGGGGGTCTCCAAAGCTGCCCCGAGAGCCTGGCTGAGCCCCACCACCCCTCCTCACTCCCTCCTCACTGCTCAGCTGGGATCTGCCGCTCTGGCAGCCGAGGCTCCAGGCCGCCTCTGAACCCCAGACCACTCCTCCTCACTGCCCGCCCTTGTTGCCTGGGCTGGGACCGCAGGCCCTTGAGGAGGGGCAGCTGCGTGGATCCCTGCTGGGAGGCCATTTGTTGCCCCTCCTAGTGCCTGAAGGAGCCACCTGGGAGCTGGTGGCCGTGGTCAAACCCCTCTCCTCTGTCTTTCCTTACTGTGAGGCTTCCCTGCCTAAGCCTCATTCTCCTCGTCTGTAAAATGGGCACGGTGTGAGGGCCCGGTCCCCTGAAGTTATGAGCTTGACCCACGGAGCCTGGGAAGCTGTCCTAAACACAGTGACCGCCTGGCAGATGGCGGTGGCCGTGGTGCTGCACACGAGGCAGCCGGCCCTGAGTGAGCACCATCAGCCCTGCTCGTGGTCTACCAACAGAGAGGCGAAGCTTCCCTTTGGGAGTCTCTGGCACTTAGTGTTTAGCGCCCCTGTTCCGAGGCTGCCGGGCCTGGTAGGAAGACCGGCTGGTCCGACGGACACGAGCTGAACCTGCCAGAGCCCCCGCCTTCTCCTCTGGGGGCTCTGGGTCTGCTCACCACCCTGGCCTTGCCTGCAGGCCCTGTCTGCGGCTGAGTGGCCGGGCGCAGGAGGTGCCAGGGAGGCGAAGCCTCCCTTCTCTCCATCCTGAGAGCCTAGTTTTGTGTGGACATGGAGGGTGGCTCGCGGAAGATGGGCCCAAGGCTGCAGGCCGGCAGCTCCCAGGGGCCCCCTGCAGGAGATGGACAGAAGCTGGCCCGGGGCGTCCCAGCTGGGGCCTGGGTGAGGCGATCCTGTGGGCAGAGGAGCAGGCAGAGGGCAACTTGGGACCCCGGCCCTCGCAGCCTCAGGTGGGCATCGGAGGAATTCCGGGCTGGCCCCAGCCCCACAGGGGAAGTCGGGGCCTCGGCTGCCAGTGCAGTGACTCACTGGGAGGGGAAGTCTTTATCACGGCTCCCTGCTTCCTCGCACTGTTCCTGGCAGGACCCTCTGCAGCGGAGGGGCGGAGGGAGCCTGGTTTCCCCAGCCCTGTCCGCTGTGAGCCAAAGCTAGGTGGAGAGGCCGGCAGGAGGCCCATGTCACTGAGTGGCCCCCACTGGCCGTGTGGGGACAAGAGTCACCTCTCTCTGACTCTCGGGGTGGCCTGAGCAGAAACTTCCCTGGGCTGCCTCCACCCTTGAGCAGCCTCCCCATCGTGCTTACGGCCCTGGGAGGGTCCTGACCACAGGCAGCCTTCTCTGGATGGCCCGCCACCCCATCCAGATGGCCCTGGCCACCTCCTCCAAGAAGACCCCCGACCACCCCCACTCTGCCAGGCCCCTGACGACCTGCACCCACATGCGCGGTGCTTTCGGGAACCCCCTCGAGCCCCCTCCCTTGCTCACCCGCTGTGAGCCCCCGCAGGCCTGGGGAGCCAGAGCCCTGGGTTCCAGTTTGGGCGTCCCATTTGAGCTTGGCAGTGTGGCCCACAGATCTGCCACTTTTTCTGGGTATCTTCTGTTGCTCCAGCCTCTCAGTATGGCAGCTCTGGGTGGTGGGCTCAGGGACTGCAGTTAAGGAGGAGGCAGGTGTGGCCCCCCCACTGCTGAGCCCTCGGCCAGGGAGGCAGCAGATGGAGAAGCACTAACAGGCAGACAGTTCCAGGTCTCACGCAGGATAAATAAAGCAGCGTGATGCATGGGCAGGTTGTCAGGTCAGCGTCTTGGGTGGTCTAGGGCTCTGGGGCCCTGCTGAGGAGGTGACAGCTGAGCTGAGACTGAGGACAAGAGATGAGGGTGCGAAGGCCCCCAGGCAGGAACAAGGTCTGAGACGGGGTGACCCAAAGCACCCAACACAAGGGTCTTGGGAGCCCGCTGGCTGGGTGCCCGGTCTGCTGCCTTATGGTCTTGCCATCCTGGGCTCACAGTGGAAGCCAGAAGCAGATGTGTCCAGGGGTGGCAGGGGCACACTGTGCATCCGTGGAGGCTGGGGGCTCTCTGTGGCTGCCAGGCCTGGGAGTGGGGGCAGGGAATCTCCCGCGCTCCCACCTCCGACTCCTAGGATGAGGTCTGGCCCCTTGGGAGGCTGGGAGGGGTGGGATGGCCACATTTCCCAGACGTGGCCTCTCGGGCCTCAATCAGTGCCAAGTCCCAGAGGGCTGCCTTTGTGTGCGGAGGGACAGCAGGTCTGGTTTCCTCCGGGTCGGGGGTTCATCCTGCCCTCATCCAGGGCCCAGCTGTGCCCCTGAGCCCCACCCCAGGCTCCCGGCACCTGCTCCCCCTGACAGGGACAGCAGGCCAAGGCCCTGCTGGCAGCCTCCTCTGTCCCGTCAGAGGACAGGCCCCTGGCAGGTGGCTGGACCGTGACAGAAGCAGCTGCCAGGCCCCATGTGGGATCCGTGAATCCTTCAGTGGCCGAGGCAGGTGCCAGCGTTACCCCCACTCTTCGGATGGGGACATTGAGGCTCAACAGCTGCCGTGACTTGGCTGGGTCCCAGGGCTCAGAAGCGGCAGAGCCAGCAGGTCCGGGCCTCGCCTGCCGGCTGCCCGCATGCCTCCGCTCTGCAGCCTGTCCCCTCAGTCTGCCGGAATGTCTTAATTCTGTCTCTCTGGAGACCCTAATCCTGACTGCTCTGCGTGAGAGCCTGACAGGGAGGTTGTCGGGGACGGGCTGGTGGAGGCAGGGAGAGGGTCTGGCTCTTCCCATCATCCTGGCCACCTGGACCCCTCGCCTCCAAATGATCCCAGGCCTTCTGTCTGTAGGGGGCTGTGACTTGCCTCTCCACTGGCCCCTTTTCCCCCTCAGCTCCAGTTACATTGGCCTTCTTGCTACTTACTCCTTGCTTTTTCTTGCCCCAGGGCCTTTGCACAGGCAGCCCCTCTGCCTGGAGCACACCCCCATTACAGTGTAGGCCTCAGATGCCACCTTCTCAGAGAGACCTGCCTTGATTTCCCCGCCTGAAACAGGTGCCCCTCTCCCTCCCTGCTCTCCTGTTGCTTTTGTGATGGGTGTGTGCCCATCTCTCACGTGAGCCGTATCCCGAGTCGAGAATACAGTAGGTGCTCGATGTGTGTTTGCCGATCGAATGAGTGAATGGTGGACAAGGGTCTGCGGGTTAGGGGTGGAGGCCAGAGTGGTGGGGTGGGAGGGTGACTGGAGGCATCGGGGGAGTCCCAGCCCTTGTCAGCCATCTGACTGCTCCTTCCCCCACAGGGCCAGTACTGTGACATCTGCACGGCCGCGAACAGCAACAGGGCACACCCTGTGAGCAACGCCATCGATGGTACAGAACGCTGGTGGCAGAGCCCGCCACTGTCCCGTGGCCTGGAGTACAATGAGGTCAACGTCACCCTGGACCTGGGCCAGGTAGAGTCCCTTTTTTGCTAGCTGCAGCCCCCACCCTGTCTCTGGCCGAGGGCTTACTGTGGGGCATGGACCGTGAGGTCTCCACGCGGAGCTGGCTTTCGGGGCCCAGAGGCTGGGCACACGGGCTGCTGGTGGCAGGCCTGGCATGGACATAGGCATGGCAGTGGGCCCTTCTGTTGGTTCTTTGAACATCCTTGGCACACAGGGAAGGAGCAGGCTCTGTGGGGGGCTCACCAGAGGTGACGTGGGGGGTCGGGTGAGGGGCACCGAGGGGCCCGCATGGAGGCGGGCCTGAGATGCTGTGAGTCCCTGGCCTGGCGCCCTCGTGTTTACTCTGAGGAATTCCTCTGCAGGGAGCCAGGCTCTTGCTGGCCTGTGGGAGGGGCTCCAGGAATGCGGAGGAGGCCAGGAAGTGGACATTCCTGGGATACCTGTGCTGCAGTGGAGGCCACCGCCGGGGTCAGGTGTGCCTGCTCAGGCCCCGGCTCAGGGCCCACCTTGGCCTTCGAGGCTCCTGTGCAGGCGGGTGGGGGGAGGGGGGCAGGCATTTCTCAGTGACGAAGGAGCCCCCTCGGTGGACCTGGGCCGGGTCCAACTCTCACAGGCTGTGTCCCTCTCTCTCTGTGACTGCCCAGGCGCCTGGCCTTGGTGTCCTGGCCTGTGAAATGGGCCAGCAATCCCCTTGCATCCTGGGACGGGGTGGGGAGGGGGCGGGTAGATGAGGCCGAGCCTTGAAGCAGCCAGCACTGGGCCTGCCTGGGAGTCGGGGCTACAAAGTCGATCCTTCAGACCCCTACCCTGTTGGCAGGGGCGGGGAGGGAACACTGGACCATGAGTCCAGAGGTCTGAGTCCAGGCCAGCTTTGGCACTGTCATGGGGTGTGACCTGGTGGGTCTCTGCTCCTTGCTGAGCCCCCATCCCCTACAATCCTGAGGGTGTTAGAGGAGAGGGGTGAAGTGTCTCCCGTGAGCCTGGCTGGAAGGGCGGGCGCTGGGGGCAGGTTTGGGGTATGGTGTTGAGGTACCTCCTACCCCCGGCCTGGAGGCCTGCAGGCTTGACCCAGCGGGTGGGTGGGCTGTGAGGAGAGTGGGTTCAAGTCCCAGCAAGTGGCCCGGAATTTCCGGGATGTGGATTAGCTGTTATGCCCCGGGGAAAACCAGCCAGAGTCGGTGGGGGAACGGCAGGTGGGTGAGGGGAGGGCTGGGGAGGGCTGCCCATCATGGGCTCCCTGCCTGGGGGTCCCAGCTGGTGGTGTTACCTGGCCCAGGTGTGGGTAGGGCTCTGCCCATTTCCCTTCCCTCACTGAGTTTTCATTGCGTCTCTGCTTTCCTGTCTCTGGGAGCCTGGGAGGGACCTCAGAAGCCCTGAGTGACCCCGGGATCCCCTTCTCTCTGGCATCACCATGGGGGGGTGTGGGAGGGGAAGTGGAGCCTGCCCCCACCCTGGGTCAGTCAGAGGGAACTTACGCAGAGCTGGTGGGACAGGCCTGGGCAGTCTGGGGGAGGGGTGATGGCCCTAGCTGGACGCACAGGCCCAGTCTCCCTGGCAACCCTAGGGGGCCAGGTGGGCGCGGTCCCTGCTCAAGGTGCAGTGGGCAGGGCTGAGGAGGCACTGGGATGTCACCCTGCCCCACGCACTGTGGCTCTGCCCCCTCCTGGCCCTGTGGCCCACTGAGCCTCCGTCTCGACATCTGTGAACTGCGCTGGAGATGTCGGAGCAGCAGCGCATCTGCATTGTAGACGGGTCCTCGGCCAGGGAGAGGGTTTCACCACGCACATCCTGCCTCTCCAAGCCTCAGTTTCCCCAACTGTAAAATGACACAAAGGGGAAAGGGGCCATTTCCAGGGGAGAAATTTGTGGGGAGAGATTGACCCACCTGCCCATCTGCCTATCCCTCTCTCCCTCCTCCCTTTAGCAGATGAATCCACAAAGCCCCTGTCTTGGTTTGGGCGAAGGAGCTGCCAGCCCTGGTTGGGGTGGGCAGGGGAGCAGAGAGACTGCCCGCCTGTGTGCCCTGGAGTCTGGTGGGGCGGAGGGACTGCTTTCCAGCCCTTCGGGTGAGAGGAGTCTGTTTCCTGGGGATGAGCCTCTGTGGAATTCAAGAGGAAATTCCCGCATTCACTGCCTTCTCTTTTGGAAAAAGGAAGCCCACTGCCCCTTCCTCCCTGAGCCGCTCAGCAGTGCCTGGGTCCCTCAGAGTGCCCCTGCCTGCGGGGTCGGGGACAGAGACCAGGTCCTGCCGTCGGTGCCCAGTCTGAGGGTCGAGGAGCCCTACGTAGGTTAGGAAGAGGGATGCGAGGGCTCTGGAGGGGCGGTAGGGAGGGCCAGAGCACTGGGGAGAAGCGTTCCGGAGGAGTGGGCCTGGGATGTGTCTGACTGGCCCTCACTGGCACCCTGGGGTGTGGGCCCTAAGTCCTCCAGGTCTGGTGACGGGAGCAGCTGGTGCCCACAGTCAGAGATGTCCCCAGGGAGGACCCTGTGCACACTCTCCCTGACGCAGATGGGAGAAGGCCAAGCAGGAGGGGCCTGGCTAAGCCAGCACGGTCCAGGGGTCCTGACCCCCGACTGAGGCTCTCCCACTTTGGGGGCCAGGCAGTCCTTTGAGGCGCAGGTCCTGGGGTGGGGCTGGGGCTTCTGTCAGGAAGCAGGCTGAGTGGCCGTGGGTCTGGGCACTCCCCCTGCGCGCGCTGCCAGCGGCCTTTGTTCTGGGATCTGGAGCGGATGCCCCGGGAAGAGGGGCGGGGGCAGCTGGCACTGGGCACAGGAGGCCTTCATGCCCCTGGGAGGACTGAGAAAGGGGGCGAGTGAGCTGCACTGCGGCCTCCGGCTCACGCCTGGCGGGAGGAGCTGGGGCTGGCAGGGCCTGGTCCCTGCGGTGTCTCGGGACGCGGAGCCCCGTGGGGCCTCTGTGAGCCGGCTCCTTCTTTCCTCAGACCACACCTCATCCTGTTCTGATCTTTCCCATCCCAGAGTAGGGTGGGGGGGCCGTTGGACCCTCTCCTTCCCCTTTTGCAGATGGAGAAACCGAGGCTCCAGGAGCAAAGCCCTGACTGGGAAGGGCACCGAGAGGCCCAGGTCTTGGTTCCCTGCCCTCCTCTCAGTGTGGACCTCGGCTGTGCTCAGGCCTGAGAGAACCAAGTCATTGGTCTGGGCCTTGATGGGTGCCAGCCTCAGAAGAGGCGGCGGGGGCACATGAAGGCTCCATGGCTGGTGACTGAGTCCAGCGGTGACCTGCCCAGGGGTCCTCCCAGGGGCCAGGGGGTTCGTCTTATCTCCTGTCTTCCCCGGGGGCCTCCTGCCCCTCCTTCCCTGCACCCAGGGAATGGTTGGCGCTGTTTCTGACCACCCCAGCTCAGGCTGCACAGCAGGGCCGGTCCTGACTCAAGTGCCCCACCCCCCCCAAGGGGCTCTGCCATGGGGTCCCAGGCCCTGTCCCCCTTAGGCCACTGGCAGTAAGGAGCTGGGCAGGGTGAGTTGGGGCTGGCAAGGTGTTCCCCTCCCTCTCCAGACATCCCCCTGGTGTCCTGGCCGTGGGGGAGGGGTTCTCCCCAGCCGACCCCTCCCCTTACCTGCTGGCCCAGCCCACATTCCCTAGATCCGGCTTCAGGTGAAGAATGCTGATCCTCTCTGGCTGTTTTCTTCTCCTGTGCCCTGTGATGGGGCAGGAGGGCCCTTTGTCCTAGCCCTGGAGCCGGTGGAGGGGAGCAGACTGGAGGGCCAGATGGAGGGGTGCAGAGGGGGACCTGGGGCCGGCATCGGGGTGTAGGCTGGGGTGGTTGAATGTGAGTCAAAAGTGTTGGTTGAGGGCCTAGAAATACCAGGGTGAGGGGTCTGTGCCCTCCCTGGGGGACACTGGGGAGACAGGGCGCCAGTGTTGGCACCAGCTTGGGGTGCCAGGGAGCAAGGCCCTGGTGAAGCTGCTGACCACAGGGGGCTGAGTTCTCCCTGGGCACATGGGGAAATTGAGCGCCAGTGTTGAGTGACCAGGCCCCCGGTGTTGGTGTCTGAAGGAGACACTGGGCTTGGACACGGCCAGGCTGTCTGCGTTCCGTGCCTCCCGGACTCAGTTTCCTCTTGTGTCCGTGGGAGTGAGAGCACCTGTGCCTTGTAAGGGCCCCAGGACACACCGGCTGCCTTGGCTGTTGGGCTTCCCTGTGCAGCTCTGCCCACCGCAGTTCTGGGCGGCATGCCCTCGGAGGCTGGCCGGCTCAGGCCTCTCTGGGCAGGCCTCCTGGTCCCGACGTGCCTGCTGGCCTGCTGGGTTACGAGGCCGTGGCCGCTGGCCTGGCTCTCCGGGTCCGGCTGGGCGCTCAGCCATGTGGCCAGCATCCGTGAGGGTCAGCGGGGTTATTCAAGGGAAGTGGCAGGAAATGCGACCGAGGCTGGCCAGGCTCAGGTTACAGAGCCCAGTGGCCAGGACAGGTGCGGGGCGGGGCTGGACGTGGCCCCTGGAGCTGGGCTCCCTGGGGGAGGACAGCATGGGGGTCCTGGTGGCATCCCTGGGCTGGGCCCCCTCCTCCCACACAGACCCCGTCTCTCACGAGAACTGACGCACCTGCCTTTGCTTGTGCTTTGCCCAGAGGGGCCGCCCGTCCCCAGCCCTGCACATCCCACTGCTGCCACCCTCGCCCTCGTTGGCTGCACGTGGCCCTCCTGGCACACTTGTCTCTGGGCACACAGAGATGCCCCCCACCACCTCACGCTGGACCCCCCAGGCCCTGGCGGCTCCCGTTTTCCATCTGTTTTTAAACAAACCCCACGGCATTGGTCTCCTGCAGTACTGCTCATCGGAGACTAAACTGTTTGGGTTTCGGGGTCCCCTTGGGATAAACTGCACTTCCTGTGGCCTGGGGCTGACCATCTGGCCTGACCTGGGCTGGGCTGTAGGGAGGAGGGGACGGGGCAGGGAGCACTGGGTGGGACTTGAAAACTCCCCTTCAAGGCAGGGGGCCCAAGACCACCTCTGGGTGGTTGGGGGCCTCTGAGTGCCCCCCAGACCCAGCTCTATCGAGGGTGTGGGCCACATGGGGCATTTGTCCTCCACTCTGGTTGGTGAGCTCCTGCACACCCGTCGGGGGCCCTTCTACCCCCGCCCATTCCCTGAAAGTACCCCCACCCAGCTCTGCAGTTAGGCACCCTGCCCAACAGAGTGGGGGTCCCCAGCGCCTCTGCCTGTCCTCTCTGGATTTCCATGTTTTGTTTTTCTTCCCAGCAGTGGCTTTTCCATTCCCTGTCTCTCTGGAGCCGGGTCCCCGTGTGGCCTGTTTTCGGGCTCCCTGATCTCATTGTGCTGACGGCTATGCTTATTTACCCAGTTGGGGGCCTGAGTAGACACACCCGCCCTGCCCCGGCCTGGCCCCGCTGCCCCTGCTGTGGTGTTTATCTTTATCGAGGTTTCCAGATGGGGTCTCTGCCGAGAGGGTGGACATGTTGAGGAGAGGGCAAACCTGGGGGGGGCTGGGCTGGGCAGATTCAGCACAATGGCCCCGAAGGCCGGCCCAACAGTCTGGGGGGTCCAGGAGGTCAGGGTGCCCCAGGGCTCACTCCCAGGGGAAGGGGCAGGGAGCTAGCCCGGACGCCTAGTCTAGGAGGGGCTTCCTGCCTCCACCCGGCCACAGCCTGGGACCCTGGCCCATCCCCAGGAATCGCCAGGGGGCCCTGCTTCCTGAGGGGCCGGGGCTGAGTCACAGACTGCCTGGTGATTCACCCGCCCAGCCCGGCGGGTGGGGGCTGGGTCCCCCCTCCCCCAGAACAGGGGCACGAGGCCTGGCCTGGGTCTCCCCAGCCCTGAGACGGGCCCAGGCAGAGGTGGGTGTGCTGGCCCTGACCCCCTTGTTCTCCCGGGGGTTCCAGCGTGGCCCTGCCCTTGGTGACGTGGGTGCCTGAGCCCGGAAGTCACCCTTTGCAACTGCCTGCCCCCCAGGGGCTACAGAGACCTGGGGGGATCTGAGCACCAGTTTTCCTCTCTAGCCCTCCCCGTGCTGTCCAGACCGAAGCCCTGGCCCCTGCACACTCCCTTTCCCCACTCTGCCTCTGGACACCAGGGTGTGTGGTGTGGCCTCGGGTGTCCTCTGCAGCGTCCCTGCCAGGTGGCTTCTGCTTGCACACCTCCAGGGGTCTCGGAACTGTTGCGCCATCTTGAAAGGCACCGAGTCTGACCCACACCTGCACTGTGTTCATCTTCCCACTGCCCCATGCCCAGGGAGGGGAGGTGACCGCCTGGGGCCGCACGGCCACTGGAGCCTGGAACCCACCCGACCCCGTGCCCTCCGGGCTCTCGCCACCCTGGCAAGCAGTGGTCCTGGGGGCACATCCCCTCCTGGGGAGTCCTGGCCCTCCATGGTCAGGCAGGGCGTGGGGGCCGGGGGGTGGTGGCCAAGAGGCAGGTCCGGCTGCTGTCCTGGAGACGTGCCTGCCCCGAAATAGCCAGATTGTTAAAAATAGCTCGGAGGCTTTTGTGGCTTTTGCTTTAAAAGACGTTTTTTTCCTTCTGCACAGAATCTGTAGCAGCAGGAAAGGTCAGCGCGAGTTGGCAGCGGAGCGGAGCGGGCGGGGCAGGGGGAGGGCTGTGTCCAGGGAGGCCAGGGGTCTGCGCCCGCCCCCGGGTCATGCCCAGGGCGGCTGTGTGGCCCTGGGAGCTGGGATCAGGTCAAGGGTAGATGGGGAGCACTGGGTGCACACCCTCTCTCCCCTCCGGCCTGGGCCAGGGCCTCGGGGACAGCCGTCCGGGGCCCCTGTGAGACAGACAGATGACCAGGTGGACAGACAGACAGAGGCAGGGTCTTGCATTAGCTCATCCCGGCGTGCCGGGCGTGGGCGCAGAGGTCCCATGCCACCCTTGTCCTGCCTGATCAGTGTTTTCGAGTCAATATTTGTGCAAGTGCTCTCAGCTGGGAAAAATGCGACCGGCCCGCCGACCTGGGGGAGGGACAGAGCTGGCCAGCGGAGGGTGCAGCCTGGTGGCCTCACTCAGGGAAAGGCGGGGGTGGGTCCCAGGGGGCTTGACGGGAGCTTTTAATCTCCTCGGGGGCCTTTGGTGGGGGCCGTGCCGTCGGCTCCCCAAGAGCAGCCTGCGTTTGTGTTTCACACACACCTCGGCCCCCCAGGCCCTCCGACCCCACCAGGGCTCCCTGGAATGCCTGAGCAGTGGCCAAGGTGCCAGCCTGGGTGTAGGGTCCGTCCCCCCGGAGGCTTGAGCCCCTCCCCCGACCGGGCTGGGCAAAATGGAAGATGACCTCAGAGCCTGGCAGTGGGTGAAAAGCCCTGTGCCCACCCCGCTCCCACCCCCGGGAAAGGCCTCTCCTGGCTTCACTTGGGCCTGCTCCTGCAAACGCCAGACCTTCCGGGAAGGGCCGGACACAGAATGGGTGTGTCTCCGGGTCCTGGGACTCTTCCCCCTCCGCCTGGATTCTTAGTAGCCTGTGCCTCCTGTGGGCTGGAGCCACAAGGGATCCACAGTCCCTCTGTCGTCTCTCGTATGGGGTCACCACAGCGGCCTCAGGCTGACAAGGGCTGGGGGGTGACTGTGGGCCTCTGGCAGCCCTGGAGGGGACTCCCACTCTGCCCTGTGGGGCCCCTAGGCTCCGGGGCCTGGCTGGCCAACAGAAGCCCAGCTGGTCTGGGGCAGAAATCCAGAGCAGCAGGTGCCAGAAGGGGACCTGGTCCCCTGGGCTGGGCAGGGCCCTGCTGAGGGTGCATTGGGTGGCCTGGGGTGTGACATCACCCTTGAGGCCAGTGGGCTGTTCAAAGCCCACCTGGGGATGCCCCTGTAAGCGGGCCTGGGGTGGGAGTGTGGCTCATCCTAGGCCCCCGAGTGGACACGGGTGCCCTCTACATGTGGCATGTCCACTAGCTGTGTCTCTGCCCTTTGTCTGGGGCCTCCCACTCCTCCTTAGTGCCTGCCCTCCCATGCAGACTGGGGCGTCCATGTCCCCCCGCCTGCCCTGCGTGGGTCTCCTTGGAGCCCAAACATAGCCCGCAGAGCCCAGCCTGGTAAATGGCCTGTCTGGCTCTGTTGTTCTCTTGGCTTCAGGCTGAGCCGGGGGCGGGGGGTGCTTGGTGGCCCTCAGAGCTGTGAGGCCTGGAAACCATCGTCAGCACGTAGGGGTGGCCGAGGCGGGGGTGGGTGCGGGGGGCCGCCCCCAGAGGTGTGTGTGCGGGGGAACGGTGGATGTGTACACCCGGGGATGTGAGAGTGAAGCCTGCACAGGTGCCCACCCTCTCGGGGGTCTCGATGGCCCAGCTTCGTCATCGAGGCCACAAGCTGGGCAGGTGCTTCTGCCTGAGTCCACGGGCTGTTCTCAGTGGACCAGAGCCCTTTGCTGGGGGCTGTGGCCTGGGGTAGGGGCTCCAGGCGCTGACGTGGGGATGCCCCGTCTAGTGCTATGCCCCCAGGAGTTGTAAGTATCTGAGGGGTGCCTTTGGCAGTGAGAGCCCTGCTCCCCAATCTGGAAGGGCCCTACCAGCCTCCATGGGGCAGCTGCCTCTTGAAAGGGGCACCTAATTACCCCTTCCCGTGTTTCTACATGTCTGGGGCCCTTGGGCCAACGAGGATGGGCTGCAGTCAGGAGGGCTTCCCTGAAGAGGTGTCTGAAGTGCCCTGTGTGGGATGTGCCAGGTGGGGCTGGGGCCCAAGGCTAGGACCTGCCAGGCTGCAGGGCAGGGGGGCAGATGGCCAGGGAGGTACCCCACCAAGCCCCTAGGGGTGCAGGACATGGGGACGTCCAGGGCTGCTGACCTCTGGCCAGGAAGAGGTGAGAGACGAGGTGTGGGCACCTCCCTGGGAGTGAGGTCAGGCCAAGACCCAGGAGGAGAGCAGGAGAGGGGGGCCTGGGCCACCTGGCAGGGGCTTGGGGGGGTTCTGGGTGTCTCTGGAGGAGCAGCTTCCCCGTCCCCCTGGCTGGGTGCTCCCCTGACATAACCCAGGGCCCAGTGAAGTTCCAGCCTCCGACTCCTGGGCTGGCAGGGTCTGCTCCGCCGGGCTTGGGGAGGGCCCATTTTCCAATCTGTCTCCCCTCTTGGGGCCTCCTGACAATGGCAGGGGCTGGGCCCCAGTTGCTCATGCCACCTGCCCCCTGGGGGCCTCCTTGGCCGTGGACTGATCAGCAGGTGAAGGGGGCAGGTCCTGAGTTGGCTCTGAGAATGATGTCAGGGTGACCAGAGTGAGGCTGGGACAAGGCCCCCGTCCCAGGAGGGGGTTCACCTGCCGGCTGTGCGAGGAGGCCAGGCTCATTTGGGAGCCGGGGGCCCACCTGTCCAGCCTGACCACCAGTGCTTCGAGGACAGTGGGATGAGCTCCTGTCCTCACCTTGCCCAGCCCCACCGCCTGGGGCCTGTAAACAGGCTACCCCTACCCTGTGCCCCATGTGGCCCCAGCCCCCACCAGGCCTGTCTACAGCCTCAGAGCCCACAGACCAATGTGGTTCTCTGAGCTGATGGGGCGGGCAGGTGGCCTGGGCCCCAGGCCCAGGAGGGGAGCCCTTCAGAAACCACGGCTTCCCACCATTCATCTCTGTGTCCCCCGTCAGGCCTCAGTGGCCATGGGCCCCTCCCTGAGCCAGCTGGCCCTCTCCCCTGGGTCCAGGCAAACCCACAGATGTTCATTGTGAGAAAAGGGAGCCCGTCTCCAGGGTGGAGTGGCCCTCCAGGTGTGTGTGCCGGGCCCAAGCAGTGTGGCAGGGGCCTCAGGTGTCAACACTCTCCCTGCCCCACAGGTTTTCCACGTGGCGTACGTGCTCATCAAGTTTGCCAACTCCCCTCGGCCGGACCTCTGGGTGCTGGAGCGGTCCACAGACTTCGGCCACACCTACCAGCCGTGGCAGTTCTTTGCCTGTGAGTCTCCTGGAGCCTGGGGCTGGCTGGGGGTGTCCCTGGGGGTGGGTTGCCATTGTCGTGCTCTCGCGAGGTTTCTGGACACCAGGCCTGCCCTCACGCCCTGCTTGTGCTCATGTCAGGACTGTCAGGTGCATGTTCCCCAAGGCAGGTGGGGTTGAGCGGCTCCCGTCCCTGATGTGGGCCACGGCTGCGTCCAGGGGCTGGTGGCACCAGGCGTCCTTCGTGCCATCTCTTGGCTCCCTCTGGACTGGCTTCATGCTCTGGCAGCTCCTGAGGTGACGAAGGCGACTGGCCTGGCCAGGAGAGCACGGGCGCCCTGCACCCACACTCACTGGCTGGCCATGTCATGTGCCACCCCAACCAGTCGTGTTGGTGAGGATGCTCCAATTGGGTGGGTCACATGTCCCCCTGAAACTCCATGGCCCAAGAGTGGGGGCGGGGCAGTCCTCTAACGGGCAGTCTGGAGCTGTCCCCCAAGGACAGGGCTGAGGAGGGCCATCCAGGGGGATATTGTTCTCTGTGGAGAGAGGGACAGGCGCAGCAAAGGCCCCGGGGGTCAGCTCGCGCAGTGGGCGAGTTCAGAGTCCCTGGGCTCGGGGCATGGGCAGGGGCCCGCGGGTCCCCCGCTGTGCCCTCTGTGGAGGCTGCTCCGTCAGCCCGAGTGCCACCCTCTCTTCAGCAGGACCCTGCGGGGCTGGTGGGGCAGCGTTCCTGCCTCACCGCTGAGGCCTTGGGGCTCAGGAAGTCCAGGCACGCCGGGGCCCTGCCGTGGGGCCCAGGGTCCCAGGGCTTTCCTGAGGGCCGGTGCCCTCACCTTCTGGCCCGCTTCCCACAGCCTCCAAGAGGGACTGCCTTGAGCGATTCGGGCCGCGGACGCTGGAGCGCGTCACGCGGGACGACGATGTGGTCTGCACCACGGAGTACTCTCGGATAGTGCCCCTGGAGAACGGCGAGGTGGGCCCCGGGGCGGAGGGCAGCACGTGGGGTCTCGGCTGGTCTGGTGGTGGCCACCAGGCCCCGGCCTGACCCTCCGCCCGTCTGCAGATCGTGGTGTCCCTGGTGAATGGGCGCCCCGGGGCCGCGAACTTCTCCTCCTCACCCCTGCTGCGCGACTTCACCAAAGCCACCAACATCCGCCTGCGTTTCCTGCGCACCAACACGCTGCTGGGCCACCTCATGGGCAAGGCGCTGCGGGACCCCACCGTCACCCGCCGGGTGAGCGGGCAGGCTGGGCTGGCCGTGTGGGTGGTCCGGGTGGGCCAGGCTGGGCTGGTGTGGGCGGGCCACAGTGCTCATTCCGTGGGTGCAGTACTATTACAGCATCAAGGATATCAGCATTGGCGGCCGCTGTGTCTGCCACGGCCACGCGGATGTCTGTGATGCCAAAGACCCCACAGACCCCTTCAGGTGAGACCTGCGGCTCCCTGCCTGTCCCCCTCACCCCCTGCCCAACCCTGGGGGAGTTCCATTGCCCACTGTGTCCCTGGTCCCATGTGACCTGCACCGGCCTGTGGCCTCAGTTTCCTCATGTGCGCAGTGGGGGAAGGGGCCATGTGCAGCCTCCCTGGGGGTGCCCTGTGCCCAGGTTGGGCCTGTTTGCCCTGCTGCCAGTAGAAGGAGGATCTTGTCCGGACCCCTGAACCAGCTGCCCCTCCCGCCTCAGCAGAAGCCCGGGGCCCTGTGGAGGGGAGTCACTGAGGGAGGTCATCGGCCTGAGGCTGGCTGTCTCGGTCCTCAGGGGTGGGTGGGATGCCCACCCCAGCTCCTCCACCTGCCCTCAGGACACAGCGACATAGTCCCTGCTGCCCCCACCCCTGACCTTCGCCCCCCACCACAGGCAGGGGCTGCGGCCTAGGACGGGCAGTCACCCAGAGACCCCCGTCTGACTTGCCCTCTGCTCACGAAGCTGGAGGCAGCTGACGGCTCTGACCTCCTGCCCCCAAGGTTCTGCCTCCTCGGAGCCCCGCACAGCAAGGCAGCAGACCCAGGCCCCACCCAGAGTCGGCCGGTAATGCAGAGCCCAGGAGTCTGCATCTGACAGGCTGCCAATAGGTGTTGTGTGCCTGAGTGGCTCCGGGCGCCCTGAGTTTGGCGAGTGTTCACCTGAGTTCACAGCCATAGCCTGGCACTGGGCCGGGCTGTCCTCTTCCTCGAAGCAGCCTGGCAGCGGTCCCTTCCTTCATTCGTTCTTTCGTTTGTTCCTCCCTCCTTCCTTCCGTCAGCAGCCGTGTGTTCAGCTAACATGTCCTGGGCTGTTGCTGCTCTGGGGACACAGTCCAGCCCCAGGAGCACCTGTTCTGGGGAGACAGGGAACATGCAAACCTGTACCCAGCGCAGTGGTCCTGCAGGGCTGAGTGCTGTGGGCTCATGAAGCAGGTACGGGGCTGGACAGAAGGTGCTGAGAGAGGCGCAGCAGAGCCTGTGATGGTGAGCTTGTGACAAGGTTCCTGGGCACCCCCAGCAGGGAGCTGGCAAGCTCCTCTGGGTTCTTCCCTCACCTTGAAATCATGCAGACCCACCCTTCATGCGTTTGGATTTTGGACCTGCTCTGAGCCTTCTTCTGGGGTTTTATTGCTCTGTGCACACCCCATCTTATAGTGGAGGCGAGTGAAGCCCAGACACTCACCCCTATTCTCATGGTCAAAGCTGCACCGAGAGGCAGACCTCAGATCTCTCCAGCTGTGGCCAACGGGTCTGAAGGAGGGAGGGGTGCCGTCACCCTGGCTGGAGGGCTCAGGCAGGCTGGGTTCCTCCCGCAGCTTCAGGCGCCGAGCTCAGGGGTAGCTAATTGCTCTGGGAAATTAGGTGCCAAGTGGGAACTCATGACGGCTGGGAGGGAGCCCACTGGGCGGCCAAATTGGCCTCGGAGGAGAGGCGGGCCTGGCCTCACCTGCTGGGAAGGCGCCGGCCTCCACCGTGACTCACCTGCATCTGGACACGGACTGAGCTTAGCTCACCCTGCGGGGCACGAGTGATGGCGCAGGCTGGGTGTCTTCCCCAGAACCACAAACACCAGCACTCCGTCACACACCAACGTCCCAAAATATCAGTCTGCCAGGTTCCCCCTGCACCCTTCTTCTACCACCTCTGCCTCTCCTCCAGGAAGAGCTCTGCCCCTCCAGCTGGTGCGTCTCTGCCCCTTTACCCCCTCCATCATCACCATCACCCCCACCTGTACCACCATCACCACCTCTAGCACCACCACCTCCATTACCATCATCACCTTCACCTGTACCACTGTCACCACCTCCATCACCACCACCTCCATCACCATCATCACCACCATCACCTTCACCTGTACCACCATC